ACAAGTGTCAACGGGTCAGTAAAATTTGGCGATGGTTCAATTGTTAAGATTTATGGACACGGAGCGATGGTGTTCACAAGCAAAAATTGAGAGCATCGTGCGATCAAAGATGTCTACTACATCCCGAGGCTAAATAATAGTATTATAAGCATTGGGCAACTTAATGAGCACGGGTGTGAGGTGTTGATTCAAGAAGGAGGCGTGCTGAGAATCCGCGACCATGATCATCTCTGCTAGCCAAGGTAATACGTATTAAAACCACTTCTATACTTTAAATTTAAATATTGCAAGGCCGGTGTGTCTAATGATGCAGAAAGACGACAAGGCATGGTTGTTGCATGCTTGTACTGTCATCTAAACTTTGAAGCTTTACAAAAGTTACCTAAAAATAGCATGGTACACGGGCTTCCGGTGATCAATCACCCTGAGGAAATTTGTATTTTTTGTCTCATTGGAAAGAAAATGTGTACTCCTTTCTCAGAAGCAGCGCACCATAGGGTAGACTGTCTACTTGACTTGGTGCACGGAGATTTGTGTAGACCAATCACACCGAGAACACACGGAACATGGAGCTACTTCTTGCTTTTAGTGGATAACACACCAGTCGCTACATGTGGTTGTACCTCTTAGAAACCAAACGATCAAGCCTTGGCTGCCATAAAGAAGTTCAATACTGGTGTTGATGTGCGAACAGGATGACGTCTAAGAGCCTTACAAACAGATTGAGTATGAGAGATCAATTCGATTAAATTTAGGCAATACTGTGAAAATAAAAGGATTGTACGACAACTCACGGCACCATACTCACCCCAAAAAAATAGTTATGTTTAAATATGTAACAAAACCGTCGTGGGTATGGCACGAAGTCTACTGAAAGCGAACGGAATGTTGACCGAATTTTGGGGATAAGCGATCACCACTGCAGTATTCCTCCTGAACCAAGCACTGACCAAGAGCCTAGATGAGATGACTCCATTTGAAACATGGCATGGGAATAAGCCAAATGTTTCTTTTTTATGCACATTCGGATGCATTGGACATGTGAAGGTCTCCAGAAATGTGGCATTTGATGAGAAGGCAAAATGGGATTGGAAAAATTTTAAGATCAAAGAGGTTTAACTAGCACTGGAACTTTCATCATCGAGCGAGAGACTATCGCTAGGGAGAGCAACTCACACCTCCACTGTAACACCTCGGCCGGCTCAAACCAGAGTGTCACCGCCACACCACACCAGAATGCTCATTCATCAACCAATTAGCCATATCTTGTGGCGCTAAGGCTAAAATAATGAATACAAATAACTAAATAGATGTGACACCCCGCCCGCAAGCCACGCATAGCCGTGCATGTCGAGATTGTAGACTGGCCCCATAGGTCAACACGAGTCCTTTCAGGACTCACACGCACCCTAAGAGACTTTCCAGAGGGTCACTCATCCTCAAATTATTCTAGAGCAAGCACGCTTAACTCTAGAGTTCTTTCAGTAGGGCTTCCGAAAAAGAATGTGCACATTGTTGACATGAGTAGTTTATTTAATCCATTTAACCTCTTATTCAACCTCGTGGGTATTTCATCATCTTCAACTCATATCACTATTCAACTATGGGGGTATTACAAAGGGTCTTAAAATTAAAGCGCTCCGGCTTATCATTTAGATAAATAAAGTTCGAGTCAAAAGCATAAGTCGAAAATTAGTTCAAAAGACATTAGCTCTTAAACATTAATAATAGATTTCAAAAATATTCTAGAAGATAAAGTAGTTCTAGTTCCCCCGATGGATCATATGACGTGGATGCATCATTTAGGTATAATAGAAGCACCATCACCTACAAAAAGGTTGTAGAAAGAGGGTCAACACGACGGTTGAGTAAGCGCAATTAATCAAAGATAAATTAATACGGTAGAAGTCGCGATTCAGGTGTAAATGCCAAAAAATCATTTGAAGAAGATAATTTAAATAAAATGCCACATATTACATAAGGATAACTCACACACACAAATCTTTTAGCGTCTCTCTTATATCTCCTTTTCATTCTCAAATAATGGTGATGAACACATCACGAACAAAACTCCACTAGGGCCGGCTCGACCCGGTTTTCCAACCTTATTACTTCGTATGACACATCACATAGTTACACATAACAAACATAGGGTCACAACCCTCATGGAAAGCTCCATAATGTGTATCTAAGGGTTCGAAGCCCAAAGTACACGTAAGTCAATTTATTTATTAGTTTGCGATGGGCGTCAAACGGCCCAAAACCCTCTATCTACAATATAACATACCAAGAGGTGATTGTATGCAATCCATCCCTCCATCACGGATGACAGTCTAAAGATCTTTTTATCGTGAATAATGGGCACCTCGGAATCACCAAAAAGGGAACCCGTCATCTCTATCCCTCGGCCTAGCCCATTCGGGTTCTACTTCGAGGTTAGATAGTTATCTCAAAATACCGGTATACCTTTATGTGTTTGCAAGGTACAGAGGTGGAAGGCTATGCCTTATCATCCAAACAATCGACGAGTTGATCGGACTCGACGGGTAGTTTCTATTACCAATTTGACACAATACTCAACATGCTATTAGGAAAATTTAGAAAGAACTTTAACCTCAAATCATCCAAATGGTCAACATTTAACCAACTAAAAAGTAGAATATTAGAACCCTAAAAGTTTGTTATAATCTCACTTTATTTCTCCAAATAAACATTTGAATAATATGCTCATCCCAATAGGCATGAATCTTTTCCCAAAAAAAAAAAAACATAACTAGGTTAGGGTAAAACTAGGGTTTCAAACCCATTCCACAAATTCTACGATTTCCGATTTAAAAAATACTAAAATAATCTTCATATAAACTCTAGGGGACATTATAATCAATTTTCTAGAAGAAATTGGAAAAACCTAACACTTTAAGGGCAAACCTATTTGAAAATAATTTTGAAAAATATAAATAGAAGGGCCTAGGGATTAGAATATATCATATATCTAAGATTACTCTCACTTACCTTAAGAAAAATTTCCAAGATGAGGAGAGTTTTGGAAGAGAAAACCTCCAAGGAAGAAGCGCAGGGCGCTGGGCGGCGACTAGCTGCTGCCTCTCTATTTTATTTTATTTTATTTTATACTACCGCGTCTCTGTTTTATTTTATTTTATACTTTATTAAACATAAAAGAGTTAGGCCTTTATTATTTATTTTACTCTATTTTGGCCTAAAAAGGTCCAAACTCAATTTTACTCCTAATGTTAACCCAATTCTTTAATTTTTTACACCAAAAGCTTAAAATAAATTAGGCCCAAAATAAAATTTGTCCAACTCTGACAAGTTTCGGTGAACTTCCAGCGATTATTTTTGCGGGGTATTACATCCAAGGCAGAACCCAACACCACAGCATGATGAATCACCACTAACTTTCCAGGATGCAATACAAAATAGCTCAGAATCATCCTCAAATGTATACTTTATGCCGTCAACTGCCAAAGCCTTGGCTAATCTCGATAATGTTGACTCTAGCAGACCACAATGGCGGTTCAGGTTAATGAGTGATATTATGCAGGAACCTGGAAAGCTACATGGTAGTGCAGAGGAAACAACCACGTTTGATGTTGCGGAACGTGACCCAGCTTGGCACCAAGCGATATTGGAAGAAATGAACTCCATTGAGTAAAATAATACATGGGAGCTGGCTGAACTTTCTGTTGGACATCACACAATCAAATTGAAGTGGGTCTTCAAGGTAAAGAGAGATGAGCACGGAGATATTACAAAATACAAGGCACGAGTTGTGGTAAAAGGATATGCATAATGCGAGGGGATCGACTTTGAAGAAGTTTTTGACCTTGTTGCACGAATGGAGTCGATATGACTAGTGTTGGCTTTAGCAGGACACGAACTTTGGCCCATACACCATATGGATGTGAAGTATGCCTTTTTTAATGGAGACTTGGTGGAGAAAGTCTATGTGAAACAGCCTTCAGGATTCATCCTCGACAAGCAGGAGCACAAAGTACTAAAGTTACACAAAGCGTTGTACGGACTACGACAAGCCACGTGCACTTAGACAGCCAAGCTGGATTACTGTCTTCAGGACCTGGAATTCCTCCGATTCATAGAAGAGCATGCTTTAAATATTCAACGGGACATGGCGAAGCACTAATCATCGGTGTCTACATTGATGACTTGATCATCACTAGGAGAAGTCAGGCTGGGATCGACAAATTTGAAGGTGAGATGATGTCTTTGTTTCGCATGACTGACCTTGATTTTTCTCACCTACTACCTTGGCATTGAGGTTAACCAAGCTGCAGAATGGATTATACTCTGTTAACGTGCCTATGCCAAGAAGTTTCTTAAGCAAAGTGGCATGATCGACTGCAATCCTTGCCTTACACCAATGGAGGAAAAGCTCAAGTTATCCAAGGCTTCAAGTACTTCACCTGTGAATGCCACCTACTACCAAAGTATAGTGGGGAGTCTACGCTACCTAACTCACACCCGACCAGACATCACCTTCGTTGTTGGATATGTAAGTCGTTTCATGGAAGATCCACGGGATGACCACCTTACTGAAGTCAAGAGAATCTTCCGATACATAGCTAGGACACGATCTTTTGGTGTTATCTACCGAAGAGAAGAAGAATGAATAATGGCTTTGTCAGGCGTCAGTGACAACGATGTGGCTGGCGACCTAGACGGTCGAAAGAGCACCACAGGTACCCTATTCTTCCTTGACAGTAGTCCGATCTCTTAGCAATCTTAAAAATAGTGGATTGGAGCTCTTTCCTTATGCAAAGTCGAGTATATTGCTGCTACAATAGCCATCTGCCATGGCGTATGGCTTTATCGACTACTGCAAAAACTATTGGAATGGAAGGTACATGCACCAAAAGTAAGGGTGGATAACAAGTCTGCTATAGCACTCAGTAAGAACCCTATCATTTATGATCGAAGTAAACATATTGACACACAATATCACTTCATTTGCGATTGTGTCAAAAAATGAAAAATTATCCTTGAATACACCAAGACCAATGATCAACTTGCAGATATATTGACAAAGCCACGTGGACGTATTCGATTCCTGGAGCTTCAAAAAAGAATTGGTGTTAGTGAGATCAAGTAAAGACAATGAATCAGGGAGAGTTTGATAGTTTAATCCATTGTAAAAATAAATAAAAAAATTAAGGCATATTTTATTCAAATTAAGGCCAAAAACTATGTTAGGCATAATCCCTGAGTATTTTTCATAGCTCGACTTAAGCTAGCATTAGTTTAGGATTAATTCTTGTTTTTTACTTAGCTTTTTTTACTGTGTGTATCATCACTTAAAAAAGCATAGCAATAAAAAAATTCTTTTGAGTTCTTCTTTAGCCGCAGTTCCTTGTTTGCTTCCTAGTTGAGTTTTTTAGTTTTGCCTTCAATGTACCTAATGGCCACTCCCACGACATCACCACCATCACACCTTCTTTTTAAACTCAATCGGTTATGGGCCGATCGAACAACAACACTTCTTCTACAGAGGAGAACATCAATTTTCACTAATTACTTGGTTAGTTTAATAGACATTTCATCTGCTTTGGGTTAAGACCATGAAAGAAAGAAAGCTAGGTAAGATAAGCTACTTCGTTTCATTACATTTTCAATTTTCAATACATCGCTTCCCTTGCTCGATCTTTACCAAAGAAAACAAATACCAAACTCAACTTTTAAATCTATGACAAAAAAAGCAAAGGAAAAATATTTGTAATTTAATATAATATAATTAAGTTTGTAATTTTAAATTATTATATGCTGTTATGAAATAAAACTAATTTGGTGAAACAATCAACAAAGAAAAATTGAACTAATTTCATAGGACGAAAAATATATTATTTTTTATATGAATGACATGATTCTGGTTATATTTCATATTAAAATATATATATTTTAACTTGAAACGGTAAAGAAATCCATTCAAATATTTTTTATATTATATTCTCTATGTTTTTTCTGCAAAAGTTATATTTGTATTTTGAGTCTTTGTATTTGACATTACAATATTCTTATATTTGTATAATTCTTTATATAAATATTATTATATTAGTATTATAAAATATTAATAAAAGTATTTTTTTTCCTATTTTTCTTGATTTTTAGTATATATTAATATAATACTCCATACTACCTTTGTTCGGCTCCATGGTCACATTCATTTTTTGTATGTTGATATTTGAATATTAATTATTATATCAAAATATAGTATAAATTAAAAAAAAATTGCAAAAATATTTATACAAAAAATTATACAAATATAAAAATATTTTTAATATTAAATACAATGAGTAAATATAAATCCTAGAGGTGGATGGAAGAAGTATTTAAATATGAATATGAAAAAGTAAATATAACCTTGTATGTAAAATAATAGGACGATAATATAAGATCCGGAGAAAACTTCTTCCTTCAATGGTAATTTATTAAGGCCATCTCCAATGGAACGTCAGAATTGACATTCCATCCCCATTTATAGCGCTGAGGGTCTCCAACCGAGCGCTAATTGCAACACCATTTTGGTGTTTGCTACAGTGCAACACCATTTTTTGTGTTGCAAATGCATTTACGGTGTGTTGTTTTATTTATTTTTTTTAAAATTTTTTTATTTTTTACTAATTATAAATTTGATTTTTAAATTTAATTTTTATTTTTTTAATTTTTTAAAAATTTTATTTAAAATTATAAAAATAAAAAGTTGTTTAAAATAATAAGAAAAATTGAATATTTGAATAATAACAGTGAAAATTTGAGTTATAGTTAGAGTAAAATTAGTATAGTAATTGCATATTTGAAAATAAAACTGAATAAATAGAGTTAATGGATTGGAGATCGGCTTAGTCGTTTCTTTATTAACAAAAGAATACTTGAAGATGTATTAATTCAATACCCATGTTTACAAATAAGAAAGTATCGAATTATTTTCCACTTTAAACGTACAAATATTATGTTGAAATTTACAAAATAAAAAAATAAAAAATAAATCAGTTTCAAGAACCGAGCGTTGCTCCTCAGAAGGGATGCACGTTTTTGGTCAATCCACCGTTAAGGGTGGTGAAGAAGCCGACTAACTCCGGCCGGTACGGCAGATACGTCGGCGTCCGCCGCTCCTTCCCGGCTTTGGCCTTACTCTTCAAGTACACCTCATGAGCTGACAACGCCGTCGTCCTTTTCCCCTTCTCTTTCCGTTCACTACTTCTCGCCGCCGCCGCCGCCGGCGATTCCTCCGCCTTCTTCTTCGGCGGCTGAGTGCTGTTCAAGAAAACAAACGCATCTCTTCCATCGCTGTTGGACCTCTTCCCCCTCAATTCCTTGAGCCGCCAGATTTTCGAGAATCCGGTGGAGTTGCTCTTCTTGCAGTTGCTGCAGCCCTGCTCCGACGCCTCCACCGCCTTCCGATCCGACCACTCGCAGTACGGCCCGCTTATTTCACTTTCTCCGGCGGCCGACGCCGCCGTACCGCTGCTCCCTTCGCTTGTTTCGACAAAAACCTTCACCGCCGGCCTGATCGGCAAATTTTCAATTAATGAATTCGGATCGTCGTCGGGCAACAGAAAACCCTGGTTGAACAATGGGAAAACCGTTTTGATCCGACCTTCGGAAAAAGCATCCTCCGCCGCCACCGGCGACGGCAGCTCTCCTCCATTGATAAAGCTGAACTCCTCCTCTTGTTCCTCATCCTCATCCTCATCCTCCCTAACTTCGTCGTCACTCGAATTCTCTCTTTCCAAATTGAGAGCAGCTTGAAAATCTAGATTTAATCTATCATACTCCGAATCAAGCTTCTCTTCGCCACTAACCTCCATCTCCTGATCAAATCAAATCAAACTCAACCTAGCCCTGAAATTTTTCAATTGATCCTAAAGCTGGCAGTGCAGAAACGTGATCGATCACGGGAAATGAGAGCGAAGGCAGAGGTCCAATGGATAAAGAGATGAACTCAGGTAATGGGTATTTGTATGTATATATGTATATATAATTAGCTACGTGGGCATACTTTTCTATTAACTTTAATCAGCACAAGTTTGAATGCAGAAATTAAAAAACACGAAGGAGATATTTGACTGGATGTTCATTATAATTTATAAAAAGACAAGTCAATTTTTCAGCCATTTTTTGCAGACTAAGGAAAAACGACAATACGCGTTCTTGTTTGCTTTGCTTGTTCTCTTCATGGATGCTTCTGGACGGATCGGTTAGTTTATTTTGACGTTTGACTATTCAACGCTATGCACATGTTTTAGGAGATCCCGGACTCCGACTCCAACTCCTACTCCAACTATGTATTTTACATGACATGAATCAACCTTCCAGATTAGCAATATATTTTATTATTGTCTTTTTAGTTTTAACGGTAACAAAATTTATTATTATTATTCTAATAAAAAATACCGTTATCAAAATTTATTACATTTGTCTTCAACAAAGAAATAAAAATAAATTAAAAATCATCCAAAATTTTTTTAAATTTTTAAATTTTAAAGTTTTAATATAAATTATCTATAAATATATTTAAATTTTATTAACCAATTCTTTACCTTTTCATATTTAATTAAACAAAATAGCTAGTGAAAATAATGATCTTTTTCAATGTCTTTAAATTAAATTATTGGACACGATTTGACAATAAAAATAATAATTCTTAAGTTATATTGGTAATTGTTTACGTATTTTTTCAACAATAGAAAGTAAAATCCGAAAATAGGAAATTATCTTTGAATTTGATATATCTAGCGCCTGAGATTAGGAATCTCTAAACTAAACACTGTACGGTGCAGAAAATAAACTAGGAAAATAAAACTAAAGACTGTGGTGATCCCCAAAAGCAATTCTCTTGAATTTGATGTCGATTGAAGATGCTTTTTCAGAACAGATCCGAATCCTTTAAATAACCCTTCAAAGAAACGGTTTGAACCGCCGTCTGGTCGGTTATAGCAACCGCTGTCAACCGCCCAGAAAGTCCTCTTATGTCGACACGTGTGTTAACCGACTCACCAACCGCTCGTGCCGGTTACAGCGCTCAACTGTCTCGGCCGACCGCTTCTGAAAACCTCATTGCCTTAAATGGGCGGCTGGTCCCGACCGACTACTCAACCGCCCAGCAATAACCTCTGGCTTCTTAGACTGGTCACTAGACCAAACGATTCATCAGCCGCCCCATCAAGCGACCACCATCTGGTCTCTTGTCCGACCTCGTATCGCCCGTCTCATTTTTCCTCGCCCGACCTCACTTGGTCCGACCTGCGTAATAACCATCCTTCTTCGCCCGACTTTCTCTTGGACCGACCGCCGTATCAGCCGTCCTTCTTCGCCGGACTTCCTCTTTCGACCGACCGCCGTATCAGCCGTCCTTCTTCGCCGGACTTCCTCTTTCGACCGACCGCCGTATCAGCCGTCCTTCTTCGCCCGACTTCCTCTTTCGACCGACCTCACTATCACCCGTCCTTCCTCGCCAGACTTCCTCTTTCAACCGACCGCCATATCAGCCATCCTCCGTCCGACCTCATTTGGTCCGACCTCGAGACAACCGACTACGGACCATCCGACCGGACCAACCGACTACGAACCATCTGACAGCGAACCAACCGACCGGTTCTGTTTGTCTTATCTCCTTAGATGGACAACTGGTTCAACAGACTATCTTCTTGACACTTGTTTGACCGACCTTTGTCTTGACAAACCTCACGTCTGCCGATACTTTTTTTCTGCCCGACCTTTGTCTTAACAGACCTTCGCGTATGCCGATACTTCTTCTTTGCCCGACCTTATCACGTCCGATCTCCGTGCCCGACCTTGTCCTGTCCGACCTCCATATCGGCCGATCATCCTTCCTTGTGCGACTTCTTTTTTCCAAACTTCTAGGCCGTTTGGCTTATATCCAGACCCATCCAGAATCCTACTGCCATTATTTATTATTATTATTATTTTTTGTATTCAACAGTAATATATTTATTTCATACAAAATAACATAAAATCCCCCGGTGGTTTGGTGAATTTTCTGAAAATCCCCCGTAGTCCGAAAATTCCATAAAACTTACTTGTTGTTTTTAAAATGTTGCAAAAAATACAGTCACCGTTAATATTTAACAGAGATTGTATTGTATGCGTAAATGAAGGAAAATTACAAAATTAACCTTCATTCTCCAATAATTTACCTAATTATCATTCCTTCTCCTTGTGCGCCTGAATTTGGGGATTTCCATTCTCATTGGATTTTCTCTTACAATGATAAATCAAATTGTTTCGCTTCTTCCTATTCCAGCCGCCGCCTCAGCCTCTTCTCTCCACCGCCCGCGCCTAGTCGGACTGCCACCAACATATTCTTGTTGTTCGCCCAGATCCGAAAACCAACCTCTCATACTGCCAATCTAGATCTGCCGCAGTTGTGCGTTGTTATGGGTCGGATTACGGGTCGGGTCGGGTATGATTTTTTCAAAATTGGGCTGTCAAGATCACGCCTAAATGGAATTGAAAATATGAGACGAGACATTCTTTGGGTGATTTTCATTACTTCTATTTTGAAGAAATTTATTTGATTTAATATTAATTGAAATTTATTGTTTCAATTCTACACTTTTTTTATCCTCAGGGACTTCTGAGCATTAATTGATTCTTCATTCTCAAATTCTATTTTTGTGCGTGTTTGAGTTAAGGATTTTTAGAGATTATGTGTGTGTCTATATATGAGAGATACAACTAGACATAAAATTATGAATGGTAAAAAAATCTTGGTAGTTGCTGCTACTGCTACTTTTGTTATTATTTGCGGTATTTGTTTTGAACTGAGGATTTATGATATATTTTTTTGATTTATATTTCACCAGATTTTATGTTACAATTGAATTAGAATAATGAGTGAGTTGCATAATGTATTTTACACACAGAAATAGAGAAATATATATATATATATATATATACAGGGGAAGGAAGAAGAAGAATTATGTAGATAGAGAAAGAAGAAGATGCAAAATGGAGAGAAGAAGAAGACGAGGGAAAGAGGGAAGAGGGGAAAAAATGGATGGGAAGAAAAGACGGTGCATGAACAGGGAAGAAGAAAGGTAATTTAGTTAGGGGCATATCGGTCCGTGTAATTTAGTTAGTGCAATTCAAAAAGAATGAACGAATGTGCAACATTTTAGAAACCGTTCTATAGAATTTTCGGATCATCGAAGATTTTCAGCAAATTGAGCTAATCACATGAGGATTTTATATTATTTTGCCTATATTTTATTATGATTATTTTTATATTATTTTTAATTAATATATATTTATTTATTTTGAATAATTTTAATTATTAAAATTTATATAGATTAATATTTTAAAAGTTAAAATATAATGCTATTATATAAAAATATTATTAGATAATAAAAATATATAGAAATATGTATAAATAAATAACTTATTTATATATTATTACATAATAAAAATATATAGAAATAAATAAATTATTTTAGATTTATAAAATACTAAAGGTAATGTATTAGAGGTAATTTAGTGTAAGGGTGAAAAATAAAATAATTTGAATGTTGAAATAAATATGATATGAATGAGAAAGATAAAAAGATAATAAAAGTAATGAGTACGACGGATGCTCTTAGGACTTTTTTTTTATATTAAATAAAAAATTTTATTATCCATTTTATGTTGTTTTTAGTAAAAAATATTGTTTTTTTTTATAAAAATTATATTTAAATATTATTTAAATAATTATTCATTCAAAATAAAATCAAACAAATATGCACTTAGACAATAAAGTTTTGGTATTTTAAGAACTTTGAAAATAATAAAAATTTGTATTCGATATAATATTTCAAAAAAGAAAAAAGTATTTAATATAATGTTTTTAAAAAATTAAATAATGCAAAAATTCTATATAAACAAAGCCAAGTTGGTGGAAGAATTCAACTCAAATATAGAATATTTAATTTTATTGTTCTTTTTTCTCTCTTGATCAAGACGTTTTCTTTTAATATTTTAGAAAGCGATTTGTTATTACCTTACATACATGTAACGTTGAATTATGTTAATTTTAATTCTTTACATGGCAATAACGGATAAGTTCACAAACAATGCGCAAAGTCCTAAGTGTTGAGGTTTGTTTGTTTTGTGTTTTAATTAAAAAAAAATATATTGAATATATCCCAAATTAAAAAATTGTAGGATCTCTCATTGGTTTATAAAGGTGAACAGATCCCACCATATATAATTAATTCCTTCAGTTTGTTTGGGGATTTGATTTTAAATTTACTATTCATCTTTTTTTTTTTCCAAAAAATATCAAATCAAATACCTATTTTTCATTTACATTCAAAATATCATATCAACACATATTTATATCACATCATACAACTATTAATTTCAAAATTTTTACTATTCAAATCCCAATTCAAAATCCATGCTCCGAAACAACCACAAGTGTACATGTTTCTCACCCAATTAACAATTTACTATCACTTTTTTATCTATGTATTAAAACATCATAACACATTATTATTTATCCTACTAAATTCAATAATATTTTAAACTTTTACAATTTTATATAAACTATTTCACCAAAGTATTTTACCCTTTTTTTTTTTTTTTTTTTTTTATCTATCTACTACAAAAACAAATAAGATATTTCAAATGGTATAGCGACAATAAGAGATACTAGAAATAAATTTAAATACAAGTTTTAATATTCGCCATGTCCACTTAATAAGTTTACATTTATCTTTTGTATTATTGTATTTAATATTAAAAATATTTTTATATTTGTATAATTTTTCATCTAAATATCATTATATTTTTATTATAAGACACTAATAGGCGCATTTTTTCTTTTTCGTTTCATTTGTATTATATTTTGATATAATAAATAATATTTAAATATTAGCATGTAAAAAACAAATGTCAAACTTTGTAAATAGACGGAGATAATATTATTTATCAACAATAGTTGTTTTCAAAGATACTATTATATTAAATATTTATACTTAACTTTTTTATCATTTTAATTTTATTTTTTTTCAAAACTGTAAAAACATTTATTTAAACATAGTCTAGGTTTTTTTTTTTTCCATAATTCTCAATAATAATTTTTACTTATAATTTTTAATAAAAATACTCAGTCATCCAATTGTATCCTTATTTGACCGGACATGTGTTTTAAAGAGAATAGATAAAAATAGAAATTTTTATTTTTTTTGGGTAAAAAAAAAAAAAAAACAATGACAAAAAAAAAATAGATTTGGATCACGAAACCAAGAGACCATTCTAAGAGTAACAGAAATCCAATTAAGAAAATAAATAAATCCAAACAAGAAGGAAAGCAAAAAAGAAAAAGCATAAAAATCATATGCATAGAGATAATAGTATACCTCTGGTTATTCATCAGATCCGTACATATTATCTATCAGCAAATCTAACTTGCGATGATCTACGGTCGCCATTATGCTGAGCTATCTGATCATCTGGCTTCCGTCCTCCATTGTTGGTTGCCACTTTAAGATTGCTTCTCTTGTCTAATTGGAATTGGATCTCCTCATGCGGTCCCAGCATCATCGTCGTCTTGTTGTTGGCCACGGGATGCCGCGTCGCCTCCCACAGGTTTGGCCCCAACCTATTATGATTATTATTAGCATTGGCGTGCAAGTGCAACTTAACGGGGATTGGGTGGCGGTGGAAGTGGAGGTGCGGACGTGGTTCCTGCAGCCTGGCAACACGGGCGTGCCACTTGGTCATGCAGAGCCTCCCCACGACACAAGCGACGCCGGAGAGCGCGATGATCATGGCCACAACGATGAAAACCGGCGTGAACGAGGAGGAGGCGTTGTTGTTTGAGTTATGATCAGCTGCAGGCTGTGTGAAGATGGGAGGAGTTGTGGGATAATACAACTCTACAGAACCTTGTGATGACGACATTGATATCGAGTGAATGACAATTATGAATATCGAAATCGATTGGATTTGCAAGTTTACTATTTACAGACTCAGACTCTAATGATTTTATTATTATTATATATAATGAGCAAGGAGACACATACATAGAAGGGGAAGGGGAAGGGGAAGGGGATTCATTTCTCCTTTAATAAAGAGATTATTATTCTTTGCTTCGTTTACTTACTCGAATGTGTGTGTATGTGTTCTCTCTCCCAGATAAACAAATGAAACGATAAGTTGGTGGATTTTGGCTGCTGCTTTGAACATCACATTATTGATCAAAGATCAAAGTGGTCTGTGTCAGGCTGTCTGTCTGTCTGTGTGTTATCTTTTGCTTTATTCCCTCTCTCTCTCTCTTAGGTTTAACATTTCAGTGAGCGGAAAGACATGTACGAGAGCATTCTCCGTTCTTTCTTTCTTTCATAGATTAGCCTAAAACCATGCTTTCTTACATAGCTAGTAGATTTTTTGTTAAAAATATATTATATATATTGTTTTATCCTACAAAATAGATATTTATTCTTTTATAAGAATAACATTAAATATGCATGTACATTCAAATAGTAAAATTATACTTCATCTGTACCTTAACAAACATGGAAGAACAGTCACATGCTTTATTATTAGATGGCAAATTGATATGATAAATAGAATATATATATATATATATATATGCGTGTAATATATTCCATAGCTACAAATAAAATAAAAAAAGGTTAATCATGCATGCATGCATGCATGAAGTTTAGATGTTTCTTTAACTTTTAAAGTTACAAAGAAATTGTATATCATCTCTTTGAGTTTTCACATAAACAAGATAAAGTTGAGCATCTGTTTACATTAAAAATAAAAAATAAAAAATTAAAAAATTAAAATTACAAAAACATTCCTATCCTCCCTCTTCAATATATAAGCCTTAAAAGTATATATCTATATTTTTTTTTTATCTTCCTTAGGAATTATTACAGCTATAACTTATAAATCAGTAACTAATGAACTCTCAATCAAAGACCAGTTGGGGTGAAGGAATTCAATATTGATTAAAAATGGTGATTTAATAGAATAGATATTTAGTTTGATATTCAATCAAGACAACGTATTACATCTCTTTTAGTAATTGTGATAAAGGAATGTGCCTTTGTACACTAAACTAACACAATGCTCATCAAAGTTATTGAGTGCGGATCAGCCAACACTCCAAGAGATTTATTTCTCGAAAAAAGGCAGTATACGAGTAGGCGGGCTTACAGCGAGCGGCTTAAGTCACAAAGGACAAATCAAACACTTATACAGTTACAAGCTTAAACATCAAAGAAAGACATTAAGCAACAATAAAACCATTGAAGTTTAGGATTCAACCATAACCAAGTTGTTATTATTAAATCGAGCACCATAGAGAGTTGAAGCTCCAAGTGTAATGCATGTTGAAGCTCGTGTACTAGCCTGTAGAAGACAACCTTCACCAAAGCTCAAGAGAGCTAGCAATGACTTGAGACTCAACCATGAGAGGAAAGGAAGAAAGACATGAACAAACAAAAAATTTAGAGGGTGATGAAAAGTGAGAAAAGAAATCCAAACGGAGTCGGACAAAGAACGAAGAGTTGCATAGAAATTTAAGTGAAGCCATCGTTAATGATAGCAAAGTTGCCCTATGAGCCATTCTTATATTTCACCAGACCTGCACCAGAGTAAAACCAAACAAAAAGAAAGAAAGGGACCAGGCCCTTTTATTAGATTGCAATAGAGAACCAAAAAAAAAAAAGGAAAATAAGGCATAAACCAACTAATTTTATTTTGGAAGAACCAGGCCCAATAAAAAAAATTGAGGCCTTCAGAAGTGACCATTCTTCAACACCCCCCTCACTTGTAAGGCCAATCAACAAGATTAATGAGGGACCAAATATATTAGAGAGACTTACTACTCAAACTTTTAGTTAACATATCGTAACACTGTTCCAATTCCTTTGGCGATGTAATCATGAACCACATGGCAATCAACTTCAATATATGTACTTCTTCAATGGAAAACAGGATTAGAAGCGATTTGAAGTGGAACACTATTGTCACAGTATAAATCAACAGAAAAAGCATGCATAATATTTAAATATTTGAGAATACCAAGAATCCAAGCAATTTCATCACAGGTTTGAGCCATAGCTCTATGTTCTGCTTCGGCTGAAGATCTCGATACTGTAGACTGTTTTTTGCTTTGGAAAAAGACCAGAGACTTCCCAAGAAAAACACTAAAACCTTTAACCAACTTTCTTGATATAGGACAAGAAGCTCAGACAAAATCACAAAACACTTTAAGGCTTATTTCACCAAGATTGGAAAAGAGCAGACCTTTACTAGAGTATTTTAATCCAATTGTTCGTTTATAATATATAATATATAATATATAATTATATAATTATATTTTATATAATATAATATATGAAATATATTATTAGTGGTGGGTTCCATTATTTGAGTGGGACCACCTCATTAATGCCAAAAATGAAACTTTGGAAACAAACGGAAAATTCAACAAGAGTATACATTGTTGTTGAAAGGATACAATGTGAAAGGAGTCCAATAACGGATATCTAAACAGAGCTATTTGAAAATTTTGTGTTTGCGTTGGATTTTTTTTTTCGAATAATAAAATTTTGAATTGAAATAGTTGTTTATATGTAATAATGTTATGTTTTGAATATAAAATTTAATTTTAATGTAATATAATAAATAAAAAAATAAGTGTTTGATTTGATATTTTTGGTAAAAAAATTCTGTATAATAAAATCAAAAGTCAAATCTCATAAGTAAACATATCTCTAATTTTGAATGGGTGAGAACGAGTACGGTGTTGGGCGCAGATCCGGTGCTGACCCATTCAAATTAGCATGATGCTATTTGATCAACTCAGTATATCACATAAAAATAATTGATATATTTTTAAATAACACAACATCGGTGTAATGAAAAAATATATGCTTTACAAAAATATATTCTATACAAAAATATATGTTGATTACTTTTATGTGATATTCTGACTTGATCAAATCAGTACTACTGTGTTATAGGATATCATATATTGAGTTATAACATAACATATGCTGTATGAAAAAACTGTTTTGATAGTATATAATATACTTTGATATGTTATATGCTGACTCAATCAAAGCAGCACCTCATCTGCAGCAATGGATGTCAAATGGGGCGGGTTAGCCCTGGATCCGCCCCGGATCGCTCTTAATGGAGTGTGTTAAAATTTTAAACCCGGCTGGATTCCGAGCATATTATGGATTTTACTAAAAACTCATCCCATCCCGGACCCGGACCCAAATTTGAATATTTTAATAATGATTAAATTTTATATATTTTTATATGATATAAATTAGAGTACATATTTATTTAAAAAATTTTACATATAAAAGAGAATCATAATTTCTAAATCAAATTTCTATTCGTATTTTTCTTCCTTAATTCTCTTCATAATCGGGACTACTTTCATCGTTTCGTCTGCCGCTGACCTCCATCACTGCCGATCACCGCCAACATTTGATTATTTTTATTTTTTTAACTAAAATTTTTTGGTGCTTTTACCTTTACTTTTTTTTTATATTAAATTATTAAAATAATTTATTTTATTTTTAAAAAAATCAGATATGCCAGGTTGGCCCGAAACCCGGAGGCTTCAAGGCGGAACGAATCCTGGAGCCAGACTGAATTCTAAGGATTAATATTTATAAGCGGGAGAAACCCGTCCCGAACTTGTCTGTAGTCGTACACGTCCACCAACTTCCAAAACAATTAAAACTTTAAAATAACTTTCATTTGCAATTTATTATTTCTATTTTTTAATGAAAAAATATATTGTTAAAATTTTTTATTTTTTTATAAAATAATTTGTGTTAATTATATATAGATATATATATATATTTATTTACTTATACTATCTATTATTTATTTATGAAATAATATTTATATCATATTTTTTTATTTGCCTTCGATTGTCACAATAATAATAATAATAATAACAGAATATTACATTTTTTAAGAGTTACTTAAGAAAAATATACATGCGGAAACTGATTTTATACACAAAATCTTTTACAGATTTGAAAAGAAAATTTTCATACAATTAAATTCCTAATCATTAGTAGATTTCAAATAAAAACAAAAACAAAACTGTACAGAAAGACCTTTAATTGAAAATTCAGAACCTAGTTGAATTTTGCCAAACTAAAAAATCAGAATCAACCAACAGAACCTGGATTTTAAAAATATGAACCATTATGGATTGTGTCATTAAATCAGCAACGCACTATTACACGGAGCAGAAAGATGCCGGACTCAATATAATTGTCAATGGCTAAACTGTTTTTTCAATTCCGTAATTGAACCTCTTTATCATTTTAGTCTCGTAACGTTATTTTAAAATAGCGTTGTAAGTAAAAAAATTTCTCAATTTAATATTCAATATCTATGTGGCATCTGCGTGGCATGCTGATAGATACGTGTCGGCTAGATCAGCGCTACGTGGCTGCCACGTGTCCGCCACATGAATAATTTATATTTTTTTATGTTATATTTTAATTAAATAAATAATAAAATTAAAAATATAAAATATAAAAATTAAAATAAAAAAATATACACATGTCCGTCAGATCAACGTCACATAGTTGCTATTTGAATAATTTATATTTTTTTATATTAAAATAAAAAATGAAATATAAAAAATAAATGAATATATAAATTATTAAAGGTCACGACTATGACTTAACAGACATTTGGATAATTTTTATTTTATTTTTTATTTGTAATTTTAATTTTTAATTTTTAATTTGAAACTATTTTTTTATTTTTCAAAATTTATATTTTATATTATATTTTTATTTTTATATTTGACACGTGCCAACCACATGGCGCTGACCTGGCCGACACGTGTCCGTTGACCTGCGACGCAAGTACCACATAGACATTGAGGACTACATTGTGAAAAATTTTCACTTACGGGACTATTTTATGACATTCTTCAATTACGGGACTAAAATGATAAAAAGATCTA